GGGGAGGGGGGCACCGCAGCGCAGCACCACGCCACGCCCACCTCTGAAGCACCACAGCACATCCACAAGGGGGGGGGGGGGGGAACCGCAGCGCAGCACCACGCCACGCCCACAGGTGGGGCGGGGGGGACCATCGCGCGGGGGGAGGGGGGGGCCCAATGGCATCAGCATTGGGGAGGGGGGGGCCCAAGCCCTGGACCATATATGCCAGAACCTCAAATCCTTCAAACACCCATGGGAAATCCATGGTGTTGGCCTCATCGGGCTCTCCTGGAGGGCCCATTGGAGACCTTTTGGGCCATCTTGCGGGCCTCTTGATCTGCCTCGAGGTCTCCCTGGGAGCAGCATGGCCTCCAGAACGGCTCTCAAGGCAGCCAAGATGACGCCAAGATGACCCAAAACCGCACAAGAAGCTCCCAAGACAGATCAAGAAGCACCAGCGGCGGCCCACAAGGTCTCCAAGAGGCCCTCCTGGAGCGCCCGAGGAGCCCAACACCAGTAAGTGTCCTCGAGTGTTTGACATAGGTTGACGTTCTCACCTCTTCGGGTGCCCGACCACCCAAGACGGCCCATGAAGCCTCCAAGAGGCCCTCAAGGCCCTCAGGATAGCCCCAAAAGAAAAACACGAGGCCCTTAAGAGGACCCAGAGCCGGCCAAAGAAAACCCACAGATCTCTCAAGGGGCCCCCACGAGGGCCCCAAGATGGCCGAGGATCGCCCCGAGAGGGCAGGAGGCTCCAGGGAGGCCCCCAAGGGGCTCCCGAGAAGCTTCCAGGAAGCTATCAGGAGGCCCCCATCAAGCCCCAGGAAAGCCCCAAGAAGCAGTTTCCTTGTCATTTTCATGTTATCCCGCTCCTCCTCCTTCTCCTCTTCCTCCTCCTCCTCCGCCGCCTCCGCCTCCTGTTGCCCCTCCGCCTCCTCCTCCTCCTCTTCCTCCTCGTTCTCTTCCTCCTCCTCCTTCTCCTCCGCCGCTTCCTCCTCCTTCGCCGCCTCCGCATCCGCCTCCGCTTCCTCTTGCTCCTCCTCCTCCTGCTCGTGTTCCTCCTCCTCCTCCTCCTCCTCCTCCTGCTGGTGCTCCTCCTCCTGCTCCTCCTCCTCTTCCTCCTGCTCCTCCTCCTTGTCCTTCTTCTCCGCCTCCTCCTCCTCTTCCTCCCCCTCCTCCTCGTCCTCCTCCTCTTCCTCCTCCTGCTCCTCTTCCTCCTCCTCCTCCTCCTCCTCCTCCCTGCCGCGCGGACGAAAACGAGGTCGGGATTGCGACCCGCCCCAATATAGACTACTCGTCGAACTGCGCCGTTCTTGCACTTAGCCTCCTTCTTGCTACGCTGTTGCCCAGGCAGGGTGGCGTGGATTGCCGCAGGCAGCTGGATAAAGGATGAAGGGCCGGTCATCCTCACAATGGGGGTTTCGACTCAGCGCCTCGCACATTCGTCCTGCAGCCTTACAGCATCTACAACGATTGAACACAGGTCATTTTGCTGAATAGGACGACCGCGGTCTGGCTGCAAATTGTGCCTCGAAGTTCGCAACAGCTACAATGATAGACTGTGGGTTGTTTTGAATGGGGATATAGCCCTACAGCCACGCGCATTCGTCTTCAAAGTTGCAACAGCTACAAGGATGGACGAAAGCTCCTTTTCAAACTGAAATTCTCGCTTGGGACTGTCTTTTTCTGTATGCAGAAATCGCATGCGTTTCGCACAACTCTCTTCCCGCCGCCTGCTTAAAACGTCCACAATGTTGGAGAACAGTACATCGAAGCACCACGATGCAGCGAGTGCCTCGGCGACAAATACAGACGCGAGCGTACCAGGCAAAATGCCACCTTGGAGCAAGAGCTCGCGCTCCCCAGAAGCATAATATGCGAGCATGGCGACCCCTGCGGCTGCACTACCAGCGTCCCTGCGGGTTTCATCGAATCAAAGCCTGAAACCCACTGATTCTGAACCACCGCGCGCCCTACGAACGCCATGTGCGCGCAAGACTAACCAATTCTCACCACGATCCAACTTATTGGTTGCCTCGTCTGCAAGAGCGATGAGAGCCCGTGGGTCCTACTCAATTGAAACCAGCTGTCTGGGTCCTCGGTTGGAACGAACTTTGGTGCAACGTCAGCATGCTCCTCGAGATCCTGACGAATAACGGCCGAACATGCAAACCCTTCACAACTGAAGCGCCGTTCAAAATGCCCGCGATCTGCTGGTTGTCGGTCCGCACCCAAACGCGAGCCCCCACTGAGTCCCACTGGCGCTCCCGAGGGTTCGGTTTGAGAAGGTCTTCTCGGCCGACTGGAAGTCTCACCGTGCACGGCCGATGAGCAGCTTCGGTTCGAAGTCCGACGGCCAGCGGGAGACCGCCCACGCGGAACAGAGAACACGCGCGAACCCGTCGATTTTCTTCATCCACTCCTGCTTTGAAACGCAATCGTCTCGATGGTTTTGTCAAGCTCCCTCCCAAGCGCATACGACAGGGTGCTCTCACGCCTTCGCCAAACGCCCGGCCTTTGAATGCACTACTCCAAAACGCCTCCGCTTCGAAGAAGGAGCTAAATTCTGCACCGCTTGCCACCAAAAGGAAGAGCGGTACTCCCTAGCAAGCGGACGTGCACACCGCTTGCAATGCCTTTTTTCGTAAGCGAATTTCAACTTTCAAGGGGACGTAAGACCTGGGCACAGGGGACTCGGACATCCCCGACGAGGTCGTCAAAAAAATGGCGAGGCCGAGCCTGCATTTTGACGAGGCCTCCCGCTGCAAACATCCCACGAAACTCCCCCTCGTCAAAATCCGAGGCGCGGTCGTCAAAAAACGATGGTGAACCCGAGTCCTGGCAAACCCGGGTCTCACGCTCCCCCGAATCTTTGCATGCGACATCCACGGGGTCAGCAAACACGCCTGTCCGAAGTGCCCCCCCAAAAAACGCTCGGCGGACGCCGCAGCCGCCCGGGTGGAGGGCGGCTCCTTTTTCAAGAGGGGGCTCTCGCTCGGGACGTCCTCAACATGTACACCCTGCGAAGTGCTCAAGAAATCATGGGTTAAGAAATTCATAGTCTCCGACCTTGAAGAAAAGCCCAACATTTCTATTAAAAACTTAGGATTTACACTGAAACGTTAAGAATCATCGAGACTCTGGCCGAAAACTGAAGTTTTCTTAAGCATCGCCGAAGGTGTACGACAAGAAACCCAAACGTGTGCGATTGGTACACCGGAGGGGCGGCCCCTGTTTTTCAAAACGGAATATGCTGAGCACGAGCCGGAAGGCCGTGCAGTTTCGCATGCCTGGCTGCGCACCAGGAGGATGCAAGGTGAGCCATGCTGAACTCGGTGCTCTCGCCTGACCGGCAGGCCCGGGGGGGGCGCTGGTCTTCCACGGAGGCGCTGCTTGCAATGACAAGGAAGGCCTGAAGGGACTTGCGACTGATATCGAGGGGGCTGGGGGCGGCACGCTTGCAGCATCGCTGATACACCTTCGGTTGCACTAGTCATCTTACTCATCATCGCTCTGCCTCCCTCCTCCTCACCCTCCTCCCTCATCCTCCCACTCCCTCCATCCTCATTCTCCTCAGTCCTCCTCCTCCTTCTCCTCCTCATCCTCCCACTCCCTCCGTTCTCCTCCTCCTCCTCCTCCTCCTCCATCATCCGCCCCCTCCTCCCATTCACGTATGATCCTCCTCCCCTTCCTCCTCCTCCTCTTCTTCCTCTTTCTGGTCCTCCTCCTCCTCCTCCTCCTCCTCCTCCCCATCCTCCTCTTCCTACCCTTCCCCTTCCAGTTTCGAGGCTTCTCGCTCGAAAATCCAGCTCGGGCAGGCGCAAACTGGCCCCTCCTGCTCCCCCCGATTCACAACTACACCATCTGAACACTACTCTCCTCTCTCCCATGACTCTGTCCGGAGAGTGTCCCGTCCTCATCGCGTCTTGCTTCTTACGCACAAGATTCCATTATCTGGTTTTCCCTGATTTGTTTCAATCTGGTCGTTTTTGGTTCTTCCAAAATGGTGCTCCAGCCGCAGAGCCGCCATCATGCCCGCGCCAGTCATTGAACATCGTGCTCCTGCTGCAGCGCTGGCCTCCTTCCCGCGCCTCCGGACGGCTCTTGGCATTCGAACGCGCCGCCATGCTCTGACATGCCGTGCTCTGTCGTGCTGTTCTACGCCATGTGTTCCCATCCACCGCGCACCCTCTTTGAATCATTGCCCTGCTCGACATCCGACTGCGAATAGATAGGAGATCTGCACATCAGAAGGGATGGGTGGGAGGGTAGGACGACAGATGTGACGCTAGCGCGCCTAGCTTGTCCTTCCCCCCTCACTTCCCCCCCTGCTCCGTCCCTTCCCCCTCCCATCCCCTTCTTCCCCCCCCCTCCCCTCTCGGGAGGGTGGTAATGGGGGGTGACCTCTGAGTGGGGGGTAAAGGGAGGGGCCCTAAAAGGGGACCTCAGGGCCCCTTTGGGATCCAGAAGGGGCCCTCAAGGGCACCTTTAGGGACCCACTCTTCGCCCCTAATCTAGGTCACCCCCCATCACCACCCGCCCGAGCTCCAGCAGCCAGTTTGTTGGCGTACGGTAGGTTCGCGTCGTGTCGACTGGCGGCGACCCCAGCGCGGACGTTTCAGGTTGAACCCAGCCCGTTTGACCACCCTCGCTTCCAAGAGATACCAAGCGATGCCAAACTACGGCCTGTACTGGCCAGGCCGCTTGACGAGGAGGCGCGTGGTATGACCTGTTTTTTCCCTGGAAGCGAAAGCGGGGTACGGCAGGTTCGCGTCGTGTCGACCCCAGCGATGGTTTCTGTCACCTCGGGGATCGTTCAACCTTGAACGATCGGCCCTTTCCGAGACGTCCGATCCTTCAACATCGACCGATTCTGGATCGCTGGCGGCGTTCAACCTTGAACGCCCGCGCTGGGGTCGCCGCCGGTCGACACGACACGAACCTACCGTAGGTAATTCACGCTCTGAGTGTCTTCCTCTGCTCGACTGGAGGCGCACGCATTTCTCTGCTCCCGCAGGGAGCCGCGGGCTTCGCCGCCGGAGCGGCGGCGCAGGCCGGCGCGGCCACAGCGGGCTGCACCGCGGCGCCCGCCGTCGCGGCGGCCTGCGCCTCCTGGCGCGGAGAGCTCCCGCCGTCACCCCCTCCTCGTTCTCCTCGTTCTCCTCGTTCTCCTCCTCCTCCTCCTCCTCCTTCTCCTCCTAGTCTTCATAGTCCTCCTCTCCTCCTAGTCCTCCTCCTCCTCCTTCTCCTCCTCCTCCTCCTCCTTGCTCGCTCCTCCTCCTCCTGACTCGTTCCTCCTCCTCCTCCTCCTCCTCCTCCTCCTCCTCCTCCTCCTCCTCCTCCTCCTCCCCATCTTCGCTCGCGCTCGGCATGTCCTTGCGGTGGCGGCTCGCACTCGGCATGTCCTGGCGGCGGCGGCGGCGCGCGGGGCTCTCGAGAGGGATGGCTGCAGGAGCCGACTCGGCTCGCTGGTGCCGAGCTGGCAGCGCGGGCAGCACCGGCGGGACGCTGCGCGGCGCGGCGGAGGCCCGAGCTTCGGCAGATCGCCTGGTCGCGCGCCTGCAGCGGCAGGTGGCGGAGGCCGAGGGGCGGGCCAAGGACGCAAGGAGAGCGCGCTGGTCACCCTCTTCGGCGACGAAGACATCGCTGCTCGAATTCGGGGTCGTCCTCCTGCTCTCCAGGCCCTCGCTCGAGGTCCGAGGCCCACCTGGCTGCAAGGACTGCGGCGCAACTGCGGACTGCACGCGGCAGCTCCAGGGAAGCGGCTGCTGCAGGCGCGCGCCCAGAGTGCTCCGTCATGCCGAGCAGGGCGTTGGGGGCTCCGAGTGCGTCCGCAGCAGGCCGCGGAGGGCCAAAAGGGTGCCGCCGGCGGTTCCCGTGGAGAGCAGCGCGGAGGCGTGCTGCGCCGAGCCGTCCGGTCAAGGCTCGGAGCCTGCAGGTGGAGCAGCGGCCCGTTCTCGGGCCGACGGCCTGGCGCACGGACTAACTACCTACCAAACCACCCCAACCCAACCCGAAGACCCGAAATTGACCCGAATTTCGGGTTGGGGGGGGGTACGGGTTCCATGTGTTTTTTCGACGTTCCCCGACCCCCCCCCACTGGAAATGGAGGGCAAATTGAGGCCTTCGGGTTGGGTTGGGGTGGTCCGGTAGGTGGTGACGGACGCCCCCGAGCGTGCGCCAGGTGCCTTCGAGCTCTCTGGCGCCGCGCAGCAGGCGGTCGACCGGCAGGTCGACGTGCTGCTGCAGACGCCGGCCGGGGATGCGCCGCCGGCGCCGCGGCCTGCCGAGGCGCCGCTTGCGCGCCCCGCGGAGGAGCCGAGCACGCCCGTCAGCGGAGGCGTGGTCGCAGGCCATGCTGGTCATTGCGGTGGTGCGGTCGCCGATCCTAGTTGTCAAGGTGATCTTGCCAGAGCTGCTCTTGCAGCTCATCCTCAGGAGGTTGGAGGTGTCTCTGGATATTCGGATGCGTCTCTCGGCGGGTTCGAGGGCTGCATTCGTCTGGGCCCTGGCGTCGTGTCCTGTGCTCCTGATGTTGCCATCCGCTTCCACAGCAATCCTGATCTTGTGCCTCAAGCCTCAGGAGGAGTGTTGGGAGTTCGTCAGCCTGCCAGCGATCCACCCCGCTGGCCTGCCGTGGTTGTGCAAGGACGTCCACTTGCTGGAGCTCGCTGTGCTCCTCGGTGACCAGCGGCTCACCTGCCCCCAGTGTCACGTGCTGTTGGACGGCCTTCAGGAGTGAGATCTGTCGGTGTTCTGATGCTCCACGTGCGGCTTGGTGCTCTACGTGGACTGCCCTCCAAAGGCGTGGCAGCGGTGGTCTATTGCATCTTAGTTTACGCCTCGTTCGTGATCCTCTGTTTCTTCGACGCGGCAGGTGCACTCAGGCCTCAGG